TATATGATCACTTAACAAAAATATTATATGTGAGTCTCATAAGCTGTGTAATTAAGGCTCTTAGAGAATATTCTGTATTCTTGGTACTAGGAGGTCCTTAATGTTGAGCAAGAATTGTCATGTATCTGCTTAGGTACTGCTGATGTTAGTTTAGGGGCAAGCTACGACTATTCAAATAATTGAGTTAAAGAGACCTCATAACTTGGTGAATTTAGTTGAACACAATATTCACTAGAGTCTCTTGTAATAGTAATTTAAACATTTGTAGCAATAACTTCTGAGATTAAAATAATAATTTTTCTTTCCTGTGGACTAATTCAATCCAAATAACTTGGAAATTAAAAAGCAGGAAAACTAGCTTTTGTCAGCCTGAGAATAAAGAGGAATGTGAAGGTTGTATTAGCTGTGTATCTTAATATTTTAGGTGTCTGCCATCTAATTTTTTACTCTTTTCCTTTATAAGTAAAGCAGTTTTAAAAATTTTTGTATATTTAAAAAAATTTTTGCTATTGTATGTGTGGGAATCCAGAAAGCAAATTCTTGTTTTAAATAAGGCAATTCAATTTTTTAAAAATAGATTTTATTTATTTATGGCCAAGTTGGGTCTTTGTTGCTGCGTGTGGGCTTTCTCTAGTGGCACCAAATGGGGGCTACTCTTTGTTGTGCGTGGGCTTCTCGTGGTGGCTTCTCTTGTTGCGGAGCACGGACTCTAGGCACGCGGGCTTCACTAGTTGTGGTGCACGAGCTTAGTTGCTCCGCGGTATGTGGGATCTTCCCAGACCAGGGCTCGAACCCATGTCCCCTGCGTTGGCAGGAGGATTCTTAACCCCTGCGCCACCAGGGAAGCCCCAATTCAAATTTTTATATGTTTATTCTAAAAGCATTTGTTTTGAATTATAAACATATTTATTATAAATTTTTGAAGGCAAATACTGTGACTTGTTTATCTTTGTTTTTTCCCTAGAACTTTGTACATTACCTTACATACAGAAAACAATGAGTATGATTAGTTTGAATAGTTATTTTTTGAATGAATTAATCTATGATGAAGTACTATATCCAATTAATTTTTTCCTTTTTAATTTCATTGATTAAAAAACCCAGAGAAATATAAACTAAAACTTATTTAAGATTATGTTGTATTATGGAATGTGAAGAATAGGTAACAGTTAAAGATTAATGTCACTTAGCATCTGAAAAATTCAGATTTATTAAAATAGTACATTATGAGACGATTATTCATTTTTACACAAGGATGCTTTTAAAAAAGTATTTGTAATTTAATAATTTCAGACTTCTTCAAATAGTAAGAGCTTAATAGAATCACCATTTCAGTTATTAAATTTGGGTTCATTCAAGAAAGAACCAGTTATGTAGAGTGAGTTAAATGTTTATGTTAAACTTATCAAATTTAAAAATTGAGTTTTTTATAGGAAAAATGATTAAGTATGTGTATATTTAATTTAATGAAATCCACTTTAATACTAGGTATCTTCATTTTATAGGAAGGAAAAGAGATAACTTGCTGCCTTGTGTGGAGTCACATGATGATCAAAATTAGATCCAAGAATTTCTAAACCCCAAGTTTCACATTTCAATATTTGGCTTTACTTAAAGTGACTCATAAAATTGACTGATGTCTTGTGTCAGTACTTAAATGACAATTTACAGAAAGTCAGCTCTTCAACTTGATTGGCGACAACGCTTTTCAGCCAAAAAGTAAGTGTTGCTGCCACTACTGATACTAGTGTATGTGGCTTTTGTACCAATAACTTTGCGTCAGGAGAAAGGATGAGAGGTAGGCACATTTCCTTAAAAACAACAACACTTAAAATTGTTAAGGTAGCAAATGCTCACATTAAAAACAAATAATGTGAATTAAAATATGAGTAAAGTAGAAATGAAATGATTTCTCTCTGTGCCTGGTGATTGCTACTATTATTAGTTTGGTATACATAGTCATGTATGTTTCTTTTATGCATAGACAAAAATTAATTATTTCTAAAAAAATTGTAAAGCTGTTACGTATCTTCAGTAATTTTTTTCTCAACAATATATCCTGTATATATTGACAATGGCAGTACCGTGCTAAAAAGAGTAAGGAAGATCTTTGTCTTCTGCATGAGTTTGGTACGGCTGCCATGACAAAGTATCATAGACTAGATGGCTTAAATGACAGAAGTTTATTTGCTCACAATTCTGGAGCCTAGAAGTCTAAGATCAAGGTGTTGGTAGGGTTAGTTCCTTTTGAGGGTCGTGAGGGAAGGATCTGTTCCAGGCCTCTCTCCTTGGCTTATAGGTGGTCATCTGCTTCCTATGTCTTCAGGGTGTCTTTCCTTAATACGTGTATCTGTGTCCTGATCTGCTATTCTTCTTTCTTTTTTAAAAATAATTAATTAATTTTGGCTGTGCCAGGTCTTAGTTGAGGCACATGGGATCTTAGTTGCAGCATATGGACTTCTTAGTTGTGGCATACATGTGGGATCTAGTTCCCTGACCAGGGATCAAACCTGGACCCCCTGCGTTGGGAGCGCAGAGTCTTACACACTGGACCACCAGGGAAATCCCCTGATCTGCTCTTCCTTTAAGGAAACTGGTCATAGTGGATTAGCGCCCACACACTGTCCCATTCATATATATATATATAATATATATATATATATATATATATAATATATATATATGGTATATAGCTATATATGCCCTCTTTATATATCTAGTTAAGCATCACTTGTATCCATCTCCATTGCTGTTACTTTAGTTTAGACCTTCAGTACTGTTTCTCTTTTTTCCTTCCTCCCCTCCTCTTACTCTTCCTTTTTCTCCTCCACCTCAGCTTAAAGTAATATATATACATAGTTTTAAAAAATCAAACAACCTAAAAAGGCTTTAAGGGGTTTAACCTCAGTTTCTTGAAGAGTGCTTATGCACATATATATATATGTGCGCTGTCTGTTGCGTAGTCAGTTTTAACCATTTTCTAATGATGTTTATCATGAGGATTTATGCTTTCTTACAGCTACGCCTTCCTTCCCTCTAAGTATCTCCCAACATAAAAAATCAAGTCTGTATTTGATATTTTCATTATGGTGACCATATAAATACTGTTCACTGACAAGCATGGTAATATGCTATTAATATGCCATTATATATAGAATAGCATATGAGAGGATACATTTCTTTTTATTTTTTTTCTTTCTTCTGGTGTACCCAGCAATTAATACTTTTCATGTTTTTTAATTTGCTAACTTGTATTGAAGTCTATAGCTAAATCTTCTCACACTCTCAAGAGCCTCTCAATTCAGGTTTTTATACTGTAAAACTTGTCAGGTAGTCTAAAAGTTTATACTTTAATCATCTTTTCTTTGGCCTCCTAGAGACATTGCTCCTGAAGGTACTGTTCTCCTGAATTAGTCTGTACTGGTTGTTCTCTAGGCCTACTGAACTTCTGTTGTTCTGGGACTTTGTATTGTGGTGAATGCCATGTTTTCTTCATCCTGTGTCTTCCTCTTTCTTGACTGAGTCTCATGTTTTGGTGGATTGTATAGTAGCTTCCTGAGAAAGGGTGCCTGGGAAGTAAATCTTGTGTGATGTTGCTGGTCCTTACTCTCACACTTGATGAAAAGTTTGAATTCTAAATTGAAAAATAATTCTGGTAAGAATTTTATAAGTATTACCTTACTGTCTTTTAGTTTCTGTTCTTATTACTCTTGATCTTTTCTATATGATCTGTTTCTGCCCCCCAACCCCTACAGATCTGAGGATATTCTCTTTATCTTTTTTGTTCTGAAATTTGGTAATTATATGTCTTGATATAACTTTTTTCTTGATTGTTGTACTGAGTATTAGTGGGATCTTTCAACCAAGAGATTTTTGTCTTCTGATCTAGGAAATTTTCTTACATTATTTCTTTGATAACCTACCCCCTGCTTTTTCTCTATTCTCGTTCTATAAATTTTATTAGGTGAGTGTTGTACTTTTGAAATTGATTTTCTAACAACCTTGTGTTCTCTGTTTTGTTTACATATATACTTGTGTGTGTGTACGTATGTATGTATATATAAATTTTTTTTTTCTCTCGTAGTTCCACCTTTGAGGACATTTTGTTTTTTTTAACTGAATTTAAAAATTTGGCTATCGTATTTTTAGTTCTATTTTTGTTTCTGAACATTACTTTTTATAACATCCTTTTTTGTCTCATATCTCTAAAAATGCTAATTATATTTTTTCTAGTATTTGTCTTGCTTTTTACATTATCTCTTTTCCTTAGGACTCTTTATCTGTTTTATTGATTTTGGTCTGAAAGACAAGAGGTTTTCCGAAAATTTCTGGTGCTAATTGGTTGTCTATTACTGAGGCACTGAAATGTTTCCTAGGAGGTCTGTGCTTGGTCAGGACTTCTAGGGTGGTGATATTTACTGTATGTTCTTTGGTCTGTTTCTTCAGGTGGGAAATGTCTAATTTTCCCGGATTGGAATAAGCCTCACTTTGTTCTTTTATTTTAGCCTAGCACCTCATCCCTGCTTTGCTGTGTACCTGGCATTCCTGAATTTGATTCAGTTTTTCTGTTATATCTCCCACCTGTTGCCTCTTATTCTTAGTTTATCTGCCTTTTGTTAGTACATTTTTTTTTTTTTTTGGATAATGGTTAGGTGCAATCTTTTTTTGAAGATATAATCATATTCTAGGCATATGACTGAAACTGACTTTGTTTCCAAATTTTCTGTCCACTGTAAAGAACTACTGTCAACTATCATCCATCTGTCTATCTATCTGTCTACCTATCTATCATCTCTTTATCTAAATCTTACTAGTTTATATCTTAGAGAGTGAGCTCTGGGTTTCTCATTGTTGCTACCATGTACTAACTATAAATATGAATTCAGAAATTGCTATTAGGATTATTAAAGTAGATCTTAAATATCATACTATGTATTACAAAAAATGTATTTATTTTTCTTTTTGAAAATAAGGTTTGCTTCTCTCCTTTTGAAAATTAGATAAATCAAAAATGGCAGAACTCTTTATGGAATGTGAAGAAGAAGAGTTGGAACCATGGCAGAAGAAAGTAAAAGAGGTTGATGATGATGATGATGATGAGCCGATCTTTGTTGGAGAGATATCAAGTTCAAAACCAGCAATTTCAAGTGAGCATTTACTTTTAGTGAAGCCCAGTTTTGTAAGATACTGTTTCTAATAGAAAAACTTGTGACCTGTTTTATAGGTATTAAGTTCTTGTTCCTCTGTAGGGAGTTAGGGATGACAGATTGGGTGGGAGGTCAGTAAGAATTTCAGAGTCAGGGTTTTGATTGGGGACTTAAGGAAGGAGGTAAGAGGTTAAAATATCAGATGTGAGAAAAAGAAACGGACTAAGATTAGCTGGTGACACTGGAGGTCTTTTCATATTAGAAATCATAATTTTTAGTGGAGCCAGGTAAACCTATTTATATTTTTGTTCATTTTCTTTTTTCCTCTTTTAAACTGAGAAACAGAAGAGTTTAGAATATTTTGCTTAAAATGTCAGAATACACTAAATAAGTTTGGGTTAGTCTCAGGTAGGGGTTCTTACATCTAAGCAACTGCCTCATTGCAGTGTCATCTATACATAGCTACAGAATATATAGGCAGTGAATGATTTCAGTTAGAGTAACTCGATTTGACATTGTTACAATGTTAAAGACAAACGACACTTGTTAAAACGTCCACTCAAAAATGTATGGAAGTACAGAGAAATAATGTACAAATTTCAGGAGAGAAAGAGAAAATAGATCCCTTCCCACTGCATGTACATGTTTATTTGCTTGTTTAAGTCAGGAGAATTTACGAAAGAATGTAACCAGCATACTAGTGTTTTCTTACCAAGTTAGTGCGTAGAAGTGTAATTAAGAGACTACTTTTAAATTTTCTGAAGGCCTGGCTCTTCCTTCTGTTGCCTCTAAACTTGGAATGGCATTTTTAGTCAGTTTTATTAGAGGAAGAATAGCTTAACCAATTGAATTCTCAGTAGCATTTTTTTGTGGCAGATTGATAATAACTCCTAGAGGTTCTAAGTGGAGTGCCACTTCGATTATAAATTGAACTAGGCGTGATGGCATGCTTGTTGATGATAGTGGAACATAATTATATATTCTCTTAATTACTGTTTCTTGCCACTGTGATTATTTTATACTGGAATATTACCATATTGCAAAATTGTTACTCAAGTTCTCTTATTGAAAAGATGACAGTTAAGATTTAAGTTGAATTTATATTGATTGTAGATGACTGTTAACAGTGTTCAACTGGAATAACATATATTAGTTTTAAAATAATTCTGTCAGAAGGGGATTGACCAGGAAGAATTTCTTTTGTGTACTCTTAAGATGCACAATTTAAATGATTTTATTGCTGTTTATGTATAAGCCATAAAATATTTTAACATATGGAGTATGAGCTAAATGTTTATATACAGTTGCCAGAAAGGAAGGTACGAACTTTTGTAGAATACAAACACCAAAAGGACTTTAGCAGTAGTTCTTTGATGGTTTGAGTAAATACTTAATCTTGAATTTCTGAATGAAAATGGGGTCAAGTTGCTTGAGCAGATTTTTCTCCTTTAAGACATCTCTAGTACTTAGGTATAGAGCACTGCATTGCCATTTTCAGAAAACAGTCCTACTTTTATATGGCCCTTTACTTTATAGAATTATTTTATGGGAGCTGGTTCCTTTCTACTACGAGGGGAAAAAAGGAAATTTATATGAGGTCTGGTGTTTGTGCTTTTACCTTTTTCTAACCAACAATTTCAGGCAATCCTTACTCTTCTAAATTTTAGTTTGATTACTGAAAAACCTGTAATTAGGAACTTTAAACTGCAATTAGGAACTTTAAACTGATCCTGAAAGTCATATTATGCTCTGACTTCTGGTATAGTGATAAATTTGAAGCCCCTTAAGTTGTAAGATATTCTGGTAAACTGTGTGTTCACTGCAGTCTGTATTCTCTGATAGTTTCCCTTTAGGACTCAGTAATGGTGCAGATAATCCAGTGAGATCCCTTATAATGATACTTCAGGGCTTATAAGGGTGTGAATTGGATATGGATGTTAGACAGGGTTTGATTTTGAGTAATAGGAACTTGAGTGTATGTATAGCCCTTTCATCACTCAAAGAAAGATATATACTTCAATTATAGTTGTATATGAATATATTTTTAGAAATTTTTTGCCAATTATATGACTATTTCTTTGCCATGCAGAAGGTTTGACTTTTATGTAGTCATATTTATCAATCTTTAACTTCTGGCTTTTGGATTTTGAGTTACAGTTAGAAAGATTGTTCTTATTTTATAAGATAATTAAGATGCATAATCTTATTTCTTTAGTAGATAAAGATATATACGTTTAAAATTAACTATATTCATAAGTCAGCGTTAACTTGTATTCTCCTTCTAAGAATCTGTTTGTTTTCAGTGTATGATTTCTATTATCTTAATATATATATCATTCAAACAATGAATTTTAAAATAAATGTAATCTTTTATAGATATTTTGAATAGAGTAAACCCCAGCTCATATTCAAGGGGAATAAAGAATGGTGCGCTCAGCCGAGGTACAGTATTATTGTACTATTTTTGTTTTAAAGTGAAGTATTTTGACATCATTGATTATATAGAAATATATTCAATGTGTTGTATAATTTTAAAATACAGGTATTACTGCTGCATTCAAGCCTACAAGTCAACACTACACGAACCCAACATCAAATCCAGTGCCTGCCTCGCCAGTAAATTTTCATCCTGAATCTAGATCTTCAGATAGTTCTGTTATTGTTCAGCCTTTGTCTAAACCTGTAAGTGTTTCTGAAACTACACAGCCAGCTGAGGGATACATTGGATATTATTTATCAGTATCAACAATGCCTAGTTAAAATTCTGTACTACCATGGGTAATCATCTAATGGAATCATAATCAGCATCAGAAAATGTCACCTTCTCTATGATAGCTCAACTGGTACCCAAATAATAATTGCAGTAACAAACTACTCAGCCTGTTTTTAAATTAGGTAATATGCTTAAATTAAATAGGTACAGTATTGAAAACTGTGCTATCAAAACATGAATAAAAGTATAATTAGTAATGAATATTGCATAATGGCAAACTATTTCAGATTGTAAATTGGGCCAAATGTTCTTAGTTCTTAATTGGGAAAATTGCTAAGAGGCTACTGGAGCTTTTTATTCTGAAAACATACCATCATAGTTTAGTTAGTTTAAATAACTCTTAACAAAAACTAATAGTTAATATTTATTGAGTTGTTAATATGTGCAAGGCTTTGTGCTAAATGCTGTACATGAATTAATCTCATTTAATTCTTAAATGTTCCTATGAAGTAGGCACTATTATTTTTCTCTGTTTTATAGTTGAGGAAACTGAGGCTCACAGTGAATTTAAATAATTAAATATTAAATTTAATAATTTAAATAATTCACTCAGGGTCACACAGCTGGCAAATGATAGATCTGGGATTTCAATCCAGACTAATCCGTAGTTTATTTGTATTTGTATATACATGCATGTGTATTGTACGTAAATGTATACTTCTAAAAAAAATGGAAGCATTGCCTTAGTGTGAAAGTTTTCAAAGTGTAGTCTTCAGCCCCCTGGGGTTCCTGTAAGACTCTTTTATAGGTTTTGGATCAACAGTATTGTCACAATAACACAAAGACACTATTTGCTTTTTTCACTGTGTTGACATTTGCACTGATGATGCAAAAGCAGTGGTGGGTAAACTGCTGGTTCCTTAGTATGAATAGTAGTTTTTGTATTAGTCACCACCCTGCACTCACAATAAAAATTATTCCAGTCATACTCCGTTCCCTTGATGAAGAATTAAAACGTTATTAATTTTATTAACTCTCTACCCTTGAATACATGTGTCTTTTAAAATATTTTGTGTGATGAAATGGGTGGTGTGCATAAAGTATTACTGTGTCTGAGGTGTGATGATTATCTTGAGGAAAAGCACTAGTGTGATTAAATTGTGAGCTAAACTACCCAGAAGACCATTTTTAACTTGAAAGGATGACTGACAAACCATGGTTTATACTACTATTAACTTAATGGTTTAAAAACACCTACTTTTATTATCTCACAGATTTTGTGGGTCAGGAGTCAGGTCATATCTTCATAGTCCCTCAAGGCTTCATTCAAGGTGTGGGCTCTGAGCTTGCAGTCTCATCTGAAGCTCAACTCAGGAAGTATCTGCTTCCAAGTTCTCATGCTTATTGGTACCATTCGGTTCCTTAAGGGTTGTCAGATTGAGAGTCTCAGAATTTTAGTGGCTTTTGGCTGGCTCCTTGCCAGGTGGGTCTTTCCAACATGGCTTCTTACTTCCTCAAAGTACACAAGGAAGAGAGAATCCTTAGCAGGATGGCATTACAGCCTTATGTAATGTAATCACATACAAAAAATCATGTACATTCTGTCACTTTTGCTATATTCTGTCAGAAACAAGTCACGTGTCTTGCACACACTCCAAGAGAGGGAATCACACAGGACATGAATACCAGGGCGTGGGGATCATGGAAGCTACTTTAAAGTCTGCCACACATGAGTTTTTCAGTCTTTGCTGTTTGGTAGACAGTTCCTCAAAATTGAACAAAGTGCACCTGCCACTTCAAGGAAAACAACTGGTGGTATTTCTTGCCACCGATGAAATTTGAGCTATTAAGCAAAGTTAGAATTTTGAACAACTTGAACCTGCCATCATGATCTTGACAGCTTCCCAGTACGTAAAATCTTTTCTGGTGGGTGGCGGTATTAATAAATATGATTTTTTGATATTGTGTAATTTTTCAACGTTTGGAAGATGTGCGTAATTCAAAGAAATCAATATTTTCTAAGTAACTAATGTATGATGTAATAAAATCATGCATGGATAAAATTCATTCAAAGTGCAAGATAAGGCTAATAGATTTTAATGTAACAAAGTTCAAAAAACTCAGTGATAAGGAGTGAGATTTCACATTGCAACAAACCTTTAAGAGAATACCAACTGTCTGGCTTCCCTGATGGCGCAGTGGTTGAGAGTTCGCCTGCTGATGCAGGGGACATGGGTTCGTGCCCCGGTCCGGGAAGATCCCACATGCCGCGGAGCGGCTGGGACCGTGAGCCATGGCCGCTGAGCCTGCACGTCCACAACGGGAGAGGCCACAACAGTGAGAGGCCCGTGTACCACAAAAAAAAAAAAAAAAAAAGAAAGAAAATACCAACTGTTGAGTTTTGGTATTGTATATTCTTCAACCGAAACAACATATTTTAACAGAATGAAAGCCAAAGCAGGTATGAGAGTATAGCAGTTTTTGATTAATCTAGACATTAAAGAGATTTGCAGAAATGTAAAACAGTGCCACTATTTTCACTGATTTTTTGTGTTTGCTAGATAAGCCATTTTTTACAAAATGTTATTTATGTTAATCTGTAATGGATTTATTATTGTTTAAAATGAAATTAATAAATATTTTTAAAATTTCTCTGTTTTAATCTCTAATATGGTAAATATCAGTAGATATAACCTACCTAAATAAAAATTCTTTTGGGTCCTCAGTAATTTTTCAATGTGTAGAGGGGTTCTGAAACCAAGGAGTTAGAGTACTAAAACAAAAAGTTACCCAAAATGTGAAGATTCTTTGCTACTGGAATTGAATTAACTCAGTGGATTTTTTCATGCTTCATAAGCTATTTGGCATTGGCCTTACAGAAATAGTAAATTTCCCCTAAAATGTTTGTTCTTTTTACAATAAGTGAAACAACTACCAAAGCACCTATAAATTTTCTTGCAAATATTCAATTTCAAAACCAGAATTGAATCCAGATATTTTTGGTATGACTAATCCATTTTTCCTTCACTTTATATCATATTACTATAAGGTAATCTACATATTTGTTACCACTAAAAATTGATATTTGAGGTGTATCTTTCATAGAAGACTTATTAAATTTAATTTTATTTACATGAAAAGAAAAATCTATGGCGAAATAAACTCTGCCCCCACTTATATTTTGAAGAGGTCACATATCATAAAAAATAAGAGTATCTTTGGGCAAATACCATGCCCCCCCCAAATCTTTTCTGTAGTTTTAGCATTTTGAAATAATGATATTGATATGAGCCCTGGACTAGTAGTTTAAATAACTTAAGATTGAAGCAAGAGACTTGAATGCTGATTCTGCCTTGTTCTTAACTAAAGCATTGGCAAAACCTCTCTGAGCCTCATTTTCTTCATTTCTAAAATGAGAGATAATTTTACCCAGACTGCTGATTCTCAATCTTGGATCCTAAGATGGTAAGCTACCCAAAATGTAAAGATTCTTTGTTATTAGTGGAATCAAATTAACTTGGTAGGTTTCTCATGCGTATTGTAAGCTGTTTGGCATTTGGAAGGATAGAAAACCGGAAAAAGAAACTTTATTATTTAATTCAGTTTGATAGATAAAAATCTTTCCAACATTGGACCCAGGGAGAAAAAAAATAAAATGAGGGGTGATATCTTTGGTGTTATAAAAGTTAGAAACTAGAGCTTTTTCTAACTCAAAATGTTTTACTTCTGTGGGCATAGTTTTTAAATCAAAACACCTCAATTGATAGTTCCAGATCTTGGGGAGTTTTTAAAAGGCGAAATTTTGTCAGTTGGTCTGGGTGGATGGGTCTTGGAAGTAATACATTTTAAAAAGCTCTCGAGGTGATTCTAATGTGCACAGATAAGAATGACATATATTCTGGAATGAATTGAGGACGCTATGTAAGGAAATTATTTACTGTGAATTTTGGAAGCCACTGCTTTTAATTATAGTTTTTCATTTTATGTCATGTTTTGTATGTATGTGTATATTTACTTTTTCATGTGTAACATCTCTATACTTCAGTGTCTCTTTCAAATCTGTTTCAGGTAGTGGGGATATATTGTTATCATTTAAAAAGTCAGTGTGATACAGCTTAAGGACATAGGCTTTGTAATTAGACCCAGCTTCTAATTACAGCTCCATCAATAATAAGTGGGGCTGTATTGGGAACCTTGCATAACCACACCTAACCTTAGTTTACCTACTTATAAAATGGGGTATAAGGTCTTTGTGACAACTACTTGATTTAATACATGCAGTGAACCGTGAAGTGCAAGTATATTTAAAATATGACTGTGGCTTGTGTTTTAGGTGTGAAGGGTGAATAACTTCAAGTTCAGAAGTGACTTGCCCAAGGTTTTGTAGCTAAATAAATGTGCGGATTTTCTGGATCCCAGTCTAGCACCCATTCTGCCCTTACTGTTGTGTTTGATATCTTTCTGAACAGTTTTAGGAGACTTTAAAAATTCCATGTTGGATAATTATTTTAACCAGTTACTGTTTTTTTTTTTGTTTTTAAAATTTATTTTTGGCTGCATTGGGTCTTCCCTGCTGCGCACAGGCGTTCTGTAGTTGTGGCGAGTGGGGGCTACTCTTTGTTGCGGTGCGCAGGCTTCTCCTTGTGGTGGCTTCTCTGGTTGTGGAGCCATGGGCTCTAGGCACACAGGCTTCAGTGATTGCAGCACGCAGGCTCAGTAGTTGTGGCTCATGGGCTTAGTTGCTTCGCCAACATGTGGGGTATTCCCAGACCAGGGATCGAACCCATGTCCCCTGCATTGGCAGGTGGATTCTCATCCACTGCACCACTCAGGAAGTCTACCAGGTATTGTTGAATAATGTGTGCCTGCTCCCTGAAACTGTGGTGCTTACATTAGCCAGAGTTATTTCCTAGGAAAGTGTTTAACAGTATTAACTTTGTACTTCTGTTAAAGAACTGTTTTAGAAAATGTAGGTGAATATTATCCATTTTTTTAAGTGTAAATATTTGAAGAAAATATCTTGAAGCAAGATTGTGCTTGGTTACAATTAAGTTAGATGGCATCACAGATTTTTTTTTTTTTAAATGTTGCACGTTAAGGCTCAAATGCAAATATCTGTCTGTTAGGCCTCAAATTCTTTGAGTGGCTTGGGTTACTTCGATACCCATTTCCATAACAACTTCTTTTTTTTTTAAAACAGCAACAATCATTTATTTAGTCACAGATCTGCAATGCGTGCAGGGTGTGGTGAGGAAGGCTTATGTCTTTTTAAATTAAGAAAAAATTTTTTATTGAGGTGTAGTTGACATACAGCATATTTGTTTCAGATGTACAGCATAATGATTCAATATTTGTATATATTGTGAAATGATCACCACAGTAAGTCTAGTTAAAGTCCGTCACCATACGTCGTTACAGAATTTTTTTCTTGTGATGAGAAATTTTAAGATCTCTCTTAGTAACTTTCACATATGCAGTACAGCATTATTAACTTCAGTCACCATGCTGAACTTCACATCCCCATAATTTATTTATTTTATAACTGGAAGCTTATTCACTTTGACTCCCTTCACCCATATTTTGTTTCTATAACTTCCCATGGACAAACTGATGTCAATAGAAAAGTTAGTAGTAAACCAAAATTCTTAAAACTTATTTGTCCCTTAATTTATAAGCACAAAATAAGCAAAACCTTCCTGTTTGTATTTTGAAATAATATGTATTTTGTTGGGAAAGTTTAGAAAGAGAGAAGTGTACATACTGTATTTTGATTTTTTCCCCCCTTCAAACAGTGTAGATTATATCAGTCAGAACCAAACTATATACACAGATGCGTATTTCTCTTTTTTCACTGAACATTCTACTAGGAATGTGTCACTGGATATTTCTCAAAAACATATTAGTGGTTGCATGGTAATCTTTTAATTTATTTAACCATTTTTCCATTGTTGGACATAAAGATTTTAATTTTTTGCTGTTAAAAATAATTCTCCAATAAACAGTTTCACTTCCTTACTATAAATTTTTAAAGTGGAATCGTTGGATGAAAGGATGTGAACTAATATAAAGCCTGTGATAGCTGCTGCCACAATTCTCATGTGGAAAAGTTATACCTAAATATAGCTTCTATTTTGCCAGTAGTATATGTTATCATTATTTTTTAATTGATAAATTTTAATTTTATTTCAAACTAATTTTAGACTTACAGGAAATATAATACAATATCCCTAATGCTGACATTTTACTTATCAAAACTAAATTGCAGACCTTATTTGAATTTTACCAGTTTTTCCATTAATGTCATTTTTCGTTCCCAGCATCCTATTTAGGATCACACCTTAACAGTTTGTTGTTTCTTCTTAGTCTCCTCATATTTTTCTACACTTACTTACTCTTTGTCTATTATGACCTTGATACTTTCAAGAGAAGTGGCAATTATTTTGTGTTATGTAATTGCCATTGTCTTTACTTGCATTTCTTTGACTAGTAAGTTGGGAAAAAAGTTTTTTGTATGTATTGGTCATTTGTTTTTTGCTTTTGAAGTGCCTCAGTTTATGCCCTTTGCCCATTTTTCTCTTAAAGTGACTTTTTCCCTTTTGATCTTTAAGTCTTGTTAAATCTTAAGAGCTTTTGCTTGTTATATATTATGACTCATAGAATGGTCCAAAATCACTCTAATGAGAGCTCACTCTGTACAATGATGGTCTTTTGTAAATAGAATTGGGTTCTATTTTTGTGTATGTGTATCAGTATATTTAATATATAATAGTTTTGGAATACATATATATCCCTAAATTATATTGACCACATTTTATGATTATTTATATTAATATATGTGTGTGCTAACATATAAATTTATACTGTCTTATATTTGACTATATTATGATTCATTTCATACTTTTCACTCTTGATATCGTCCTGTTAACTGGGACCACACTTTCTCCTGATGGAAGGTCTGAAACTTTCCTTGAGCTCCAAGCACTTCAGGAATGGAGCAGGTGTCCCAGATCAGTCCTATAAACAGCTTCCATTCTAAACCCTGTGTGCCTAGCTTTCTTGTTTGTTCATCCTGCTGACCTGGCAGTTTTGTATTTGCCCTAAGAGGTGGGAGATTGCCTGGCCCAGCATGGCTTTCCGTAGGGTGCTGGGAAGAGGGGGGACCCATTAGTTTTCTTTCTTAGACTTGGCTTATAAATTTTGCCAGTAAAGACGATCCCAAAACTCATATCATGTGATGTGTTCATCCTTAACCCTGATGCACCATACTGCAGATTAATTCCCAGTATGTTTGCCCTGATATTTTTATCTGTGGGGTTTATAGAGGTATAGAAGCTTCTAAAATTGTACGTATGTCAGAATATTTACATATTTTTTTCCTTGCTTTTACCCAAAGATTTTGGTAAGTTCTATTATTTGCTCTTTGATAGGAATCCTGCATTTTTAGTGACTCTCTGAAGTGTATCAGTCTTACTGATTTAAAATGGGTTTGTATGTTTCTTTTACCTTGAAAAAAAATCAGGCTAGAATTTTCCCCCCATTTTAATTGACTAGTCAGGAACAAGCCAGCTCTAAGTAATAGCTTGCTTTCAGTTTTAGTAGATGATAATTTTGGCATAATAGTAATAATTGCTTTTGTGTTTTATAACTTATTAGTAATGGAGTCATCAAAGGTTATCCTTATAATATTGGCATACAGTTAAATTTACCTTTATAAAAGCTTATGAAACAAAATAATTATAATTATGTTGAATATATGTAATGTTCTTCCTTTGAAATATTTTAACAGGGTTATATAACGAAGTCATCACGAGTTGTTTCTAATAATTCTTCAGAGTTACTGTTTGACTTGACCCAGGATACAGGATTACCACTTTACCAAGGAGGACCAACACTTTCTATAGCAGGTTGGTTTCAGCACTTTTTCAAAAAATTAGAAAAAGAAACTTGATGAATATGCATATGGAATTGACTTTCTGTTTTGAAGTCCATGCCTTCAAGTTAAGTTTTTCACATATTGTAAGGTGTAATGGCGCTAGTAGTTCTCGAATGCCTTTTTAGGTAGTTTTAAATGAAATCTTATTTACTAATAGAATATTTTATTTCTTCCTGTTAATTAAGTAGGCTAACCAACTTTGACCTTGTTCGCACTTGGCATTAAACATGGCCTGAAAAAATCTTTATTTTTATTTTTTTATTTTAATTTTATTGGAGCAGAGTTGATTTACAATGTTGTGTTAGTTTCAGGTGTACAACAAAGTGATGTTATACATATACATATATTCATTCTTTTTTAGATTCTTTTCTCATATAGGTTATCATAGAATACTGAGTAGAGTTCCCTGTGCTATACAGTAGGTCCTTTTTGGTTATCTATCTGATATATAATAGTGTGTGTATGTTCATCCCAAGATCCTGATTTATCCCTCCCCACCACGTTTCCCTTTTGGTAACCATAAGTTTGTTTTTGATATCTGTAAGTCTGTTTCTGTTTTGTAAATAAGTTCATTTGTATCATTTTTTAAAATTAGATTCCACATATGAATGATATCATATGATATTTGTTTTTGTCTGACTTACTTCACTTAGTATGATAATCTCTAGGTCCATCCATGTTGCTGCAAATGGCATTATTTCGTTCTTTTTATGGCTGAGTAATATTCCATCGTATATATGTACCACATCTTCTTTATCCATTCCTCTGTTGATGGACATTTAGGTTGCTTTCATGTCTTGGCTATTGTAAATAGAGCTGCAGTGAACATTGGGGTGCATGTATCTTTTCGAAGTATGGTTTTCTCCGGATATATGCCTAGGAGTGGGATTGCTGGATCATATGGTAACTCTTTTTTTATTTTTTTAAGGAACCTCCATACTGTTCTCCATAATGGTTATACCAATTTACAGTCCCATCAACAGTGCAGGAGTCTTCCCTTTTCTCCACACCCTCTCCAGTGTTCATTGTTTGTAAACTTTTTGATGATGGCCATTCTGACCGGTGTGGGTGATACCTCATTGTAGTTTTGATTTGCATTTCTCTGATTATTAGTGATGTTGAGGATCTTTTCATGTGCTTTTTAGCCATCTGTATGTCTTCTTTGGAGAAATGTCTATTTAGATCTTCTGCCCATTTTTTGATTGGGTTGTTTGGTTTTTTTGACATAGGGCTGCGTGAGTTGTTTGTATATTTTGGCAATTAATCCCTTGTTCGTTGCTTCGTTTGCAAATATTTTCTCCCATTCTGTGGGTTGTCTTTTCATTTTGTTTATGGTTTCCTTTGCTGTGCAGAACGTTTCAAATTTAATTAGGTCCCATTGTTTTGGTTTTTATTTTCATTACTCTAGGAGGTGGATCAAAAAAAATATTGCTGCAATTTATGTCAAAGAGTGTTCCTCCTGTTTTCCTCTAAGAGTTTTATAGTGTCTGGCCTTACATTTAGGTCTTTGATCCATTTTGAGTTTATTTTTCTGTGTGATGTTAGAGAATGTTCTACTTTCATTCTTTTACATGTAGCTGTCTGGTTTTCCCAGCACCGCTTATTGAAGAGTCTGTCTTTTCTCCATTGTATATTCTTGCCTCCTTTGTCATAGATTAATTGACAGTAGGTGCCTGGGTTTAGTTCTGGGCTTTCTATCCTGTTCCATTGATCTATATTTCTGTTTTTGAGAAAAATCTTAAAATAATATCTATAAGTTAGAGAAGTCCTCTGATATCCTAAATACTCTGTTAAAAGGAATATTTATTATGTTCTATGACCACTAGTATGGAAAAGTGTATGGTTATAGTTAAATTCTCAATTAGGTTAGTGTGTTTCTATTCAATAAACGATTTAGGTATAAAATATGATTACAGAGTGCTCTTATAAAGTGGCTGCACTAAATTTGTCTGTAGTCATTACTCAGTAAATGCCTATTGAAGGAGTAATGAAATTTCCCTATTGAAGAAGTTACTTTTATTATATACTATTAACAAAGTTCTTCATTAACCAAAAATAAATTAGTGTGTTATGAAAGAATTTTATCTAATTGAAAATTCCTTGTATAGGCAGTTATGCTTTGTATACTAGCAATTTTGATATATTTCAGATATTTGACTAAATTGAGATTTGGGGGAATTTTTAGATTTTTCACTAATAAATTAGTGTGGAAAAATTACCAAATGCTTCCTGATTTTTTAAATAGTAATATCAGTACCTAAAATGTTTTTCCATTTAGATAATATTTAGTTGATATTCACTTCTTTGGGTATCACCTACAAATTTGTAAAAAACTAGTTAGTAAAATAGGTAAGAACCAAAAGAAACAAGGAGAAAAAATAATTGTCTTAAGTCTGGTTTTACAAAACACATGAACTTTATTTATAGAAAAAGTCTGAGTTCTTGAAACTTCTTGGGGCTAAGAACAATGACTCCTGCTCTCCTTCTAAGTTTTTTTCTGCAGAGAGACTTTAGCCTGTAGATTTGAACTGCTATTCTTAAGATTTTTGTAGCCTTTAGCATGTCTTTACGCTTCAGTTTTCTCATACTATTAAAATGGAGATTTTATTTTTCTTATTTAATGCATTCATTCTCCAGACCTTCAATCAGCCATTTGTAGATATAATTTTAATTCTTGCTCTATTTCAGTTAGGGCTTTCTGAAGCCCAAATAAGATAAATAAAACGTGAAATGCATTATAAGCTTTAAAGGACTCTACAACAAATATTTGTTATGAATGGTAACAGGTGCAATATGTTCAATAGCATTAACTGATCAAGGTCAAGTGATCATGGATATTTGGAGAGAACTGGGTTTGAGTTTGATCTTGAATGAGAATAGGATTTTTACTGGCCGAGATAGAGGTGTTGAGTGTGGGAAACAATACAAGCCAAAGGCAATAGAGATGTTAAAGGGTCAGAATTTAAAACTCTTAAATTCAGAGTAATTTTATTTCTTATGTTAAAAAATACTTATAATAAAAGTCCGATGTACTATCTAGGCTGTTATATAATCAGAATATTAATCCAAAATACCAGCACTCATTAGCTTTTCAGGTAACCTCAGCATCTCACAAGAATGCTACTGTGATTACACAGAATGTTTCCTGCGTTCCCATAGTATAGCCATAGCCGTCAGTAATCACATGCTTTGAAGATAGGAAAAAAAAAATCATTTTTATGTTATCTCAAAGGATGAAACAGAGGAGCCAACTATTGTAATACTCTTATTTTCTGGGCATATTTCTCCTTATTAAAAAGCAGACAGGTGAATCTATTACAATAATTTTTTCCCCTCTGAAGTAAGTTAAGATATAAAGTATTAGTAAAGATAATAGCTGTTTTTTATTATTGAATGCTTTCTATGTACTAGATGTTGTGTTGGTTGCTTTTAAAAGTCAGTTATGAAATTTTTTTAGTAATGATAATAGCTTTCATTTATTATTGATTGCCTTCTTTGTACCAAATATTGTATTCGGTGTTTTAAATACAGTATCTTATTTGATCTTAAAAGCCCTGTGTTAAAGACACAGACCTACTAGAGAATGGACTTGAGGATATGGGGAGGGGGAAGGGTAAGCTGTGACAAAGCGAGAGAGAGGCATGGACATATATACACTATATATATATATATATATATATATATATACAAACGTAAGGTAGATAGCTAGTGGGAAGCAGCCGCATAGCACAGGGAGATCAGCTCGGTGCTTTGTGACCACCTAGAGGGGTGGGATAGGGAGGGTGGGAGGGAGGGAGACGCAAGAGGGAAGAGATATGGGAACATATGTGTATGTATAACTGATTCACTTTGTTGTAAAACAGAAACTAACACACCATTGTAAAGCAATTATACTCCAATAAAGATGTTAAAAAAAAAAGCACTGTGTAAAATAAGGTATTATAACTCTTACTTTATAAAAGAACAAACTGAGGCTCAGGGAAGTTAATTAAATAAGCCAAGAATACATAGCTATCAGTGACAGAGCCTGGATTTGAACTTATCCTGTCTGGTTTAAAAGCCTGGAATATTTCTAGTGTATTTACTGCTTCTACTTTTAGTGTACAGTTGGGAGCATTAGAATATGATGTGCAGTTTTAAAATCCTTGTTACCCAGCCTAGTTATAGCCTAAATATCCCCATTTCCCTTGCTAATGCTCTGAATAAGGCTAAAATCCTTTAGCAAAAAGGTTATAGTTTTCAAAGTAAGACTTCATTTAGGAATGAAATTCCTGTAAAAACAAAATTTTATGCAAAAGTCTAATAAGTAAAATATAAAAGCAGAGTTTCTCTGTCAAACACACCCAGGGTATTCCCTAAGAGGAGCCCATTAAGCTCTGGGGAAGATAATTTGAAAACCATAGTATAATACTAACTCTTTCTATTATGAACCCTTTCACATGAATGAATGAGGTTTTATCATTCAAGATTAGTAGTTTCCACTTTGTATGTAGGAATAAATGGGTAATATAACCTAAAGCCATCAGTAGACCACCTCTTAGTTAGGTGGACAAAGCTAACTTTTCATTAGACATTTTAAGTCATTAAATAAAAAGCTTCTAAAGTGTCTCTGTAAATTTTGGGTTTTTTTTTTTTTTTTAAACAAACTCACGCACTTAAGCATCTAAAGTTAATTCATTTGTGGGAACCCTGGCATATTCTTTGTGCTTTAACTTTTTTTTTGTTTTTGCTTGCTCTGCCTTCTTTCATAATAGCTGTTTATATATTTCTTTATTTGAAGTTATATTTAGTATTGCCTTACATAGAAAGGTATTTTATGAATAATTTGAATATATATAGTATATAATAGATACTTATACAGTTTCTTTATATCCCCTAACTTTTGATCACATCAATTTTTGTCATTATTTATTGTTATTTGTATGATGTGATAATTCAATTATATTACATTTAATTTCACTCCAAAGTATTTTTACTTAGTTGTAAACAATGTTCTAAAGTCTTTAAAAATATTTTCTCACTATTTAAATCATTATAGGTATGAATGAAAGTTCATTTTTATCAAAACGTCCTTCTACTTCTGAAGTAAACAGTGTTAATCCAAAAAAGTCTAAACCCAGTGAAGGTGTTTCTGGAACAAATTCCTCAACTGTATTTTCTTCAGTTAAATCTCTTTCAGTGACATCTCCCCAGGCTATGCCATCAAAAGGTAAATATGAAATGTAGCATATAAAAAAGAAATTATAGTATTTATATATGAATTATAGAAATTGTAATACAGACTATCAATAATGGTTATTGAAGGTTAAAAAGTGATGAATTTTGAATCATATATATTTTGAATTTATTTTAGGTACAAATATCTCATCAAATCAATCTAAAAATGGAACACCTTTTCCGAGAGCTTGTCCAAAGTGCAATATTCATTTCAATCTTTTGGATCCTTTGAAAAATCACATGAAGGTAAAACTTTTTCAAAATTTAATTTTAAAAAGGTTTGCAAATCCCTAAAAATATTGATTGATTTGCAGTAAATAATGATTTGTTCAGATATTTAGTTAAGAAATATTCTCATATTGGTATTTACATATGTTAGGTAAAAGTTATTCATAATGATTGTCTTTATATAAGATTTTAAAATTTCTTCTGAATCATCAAATTTAAAAAATTGTTCATATACATTATAATGTCTGCTTATTGTATTCTAATTTTAAATGAAAATAATGCATTGTTCAGAATATCTTATTTACTAGCTTATGCATACTTGAAACTTCTTAAAAATAGGCATTTTATTATGTGTTTAATATTTCATATAAGTTAACAGTTCCTTTAGTTATCTTTTTTGTTCATACTAACATGTGCATATCATGTTACACAATGAAAATCTTAGTTTTACTTTAATTTCAGCACTCAGGCATAAACTCCAAATGATGGAGGATTTTATATGAAATAATTGTTTTAACTTAGTCCAGAATATAGTTTGTGTAATTGTTATAAATTAATTTGAGCTTTTTATTGGTATAAGAAGATCCTGAAATTAGATTTTAAGAAATTTTCAAAGTACAAATGAAATAGGAGGTTTAGGTAACACTTCACTTAAAATATTTTGGTAGATATTACAGTACCCTGCTGTGTCTATGGAAAAATAGCCTGTATTCCTCTTCTGTGCCCGGTATAAATGCAAGGAAGGGGGAAAGAGACAAGAAAAAAGGCAGTGTAGATCATATGGAGAAAAGAAGGAAGGAGAAGGATGCAATGGTAAAGAAATATCTAAGGAAAAGTTTCAGGGATTGCTCACTGTTTTAGGGATTGACAAATCTTTTTTGAAATTCAGTATTTTACAAAAAAAGGAGAAAAAAATAAAGGAACTTTTTTATTTTAAATATAGTCTCTTTATTTAAATACAAAACTATTTGGTCTGTGACTACTTCTAGCTCGCAGTATGTACTCCCTGATAATTGCACTTTGTGGTTTGTTCTTATATGAGAATTAACCTGTACAAGTGCTTTCAGTTTTCCTATTTATGTAATATTTTGATGAGATAACCTGATGTTTTTTCATGTTTTGCATTTTGGACATAGGGAAAAAAGAAAGGGTTAAATTCTTTAGTTATCTGTAGTTATTTGAATAGGTAATAGTCATATGATTCAAAATTGAAAAGTTTACAAAGGCATACAAGTAAAAACTCTTATCCCTGTCGCTTATTTACCTGGTTCCCAGTATGACTCTCAAAGAAAATAATTTTTATTAGTTTGTTTTCTATCCTGCCTGGTCTTCTTTCTGCATAAACAGGTGAACACAAGTGCTCTTCTTTTCTGTTTTGTGTACAAGCTGTAGCACATTATATATACTGTACCTGGTGAGACTGGCAATCATTTTCCAAAAGGTAGCTTTACTTCCAAAACATATTATAGCATTGTTTGTGATTACTCATATTAGAAACAATCACAACTTCATATAATATTCATATAATAAAACACTATTCAGCATTTTTAAAAAGGATGGAATCTCTAGAATGATGATATGGGAAGATAGCTCTAAGACATATTATTGAACTAAGTTGAATGTATTATGAATAACTTATTATATTCCTTTATATCATAAAGACATCTTAGAAAATAGTCACCAGATCTCAGACAGGGAAGTATAAAATTATGGAGACGTTATGTTCTAGATTATGCATTTTATACATAAATTATAATTTACAATAATAATTTCTATTTTGAAAAAAATAAGATTTTTATATTATTTGTAAACGATTTTTTTGCTTTTATTATAGATAAGTAGATGACTGTACCACAGAAATAATGTTTTCTTTCAATGAAGAATACCTAAAACATAATTCAAATATGCTACAGTAATAACAACAATATACTTACCTGAGACCATGTGAGACTACTAAGCTTTAAATACATATTTCATTTAATCCTTAGAAAATTCTTTGAGATAGACATTTTTCTCATTGTTTTATAGCCAGTTAATTGGCATAACTGGTATTCAAACTTAATGGTAAAAAGCTCAAGTTCTCCCAAATATTTATTATTATTCCCCTTTTGACAAGTGTATGGGCTATTTAACTTGAAGATAGGTACATTATTTCTTTTTAGGGAATTTGATATTTATCAACCAGATCTAGCTTATTAATTACATTATTTAGATTTCTATAACTTATTTTTTTGTTTACTTGCTCTGTCATGGATTGAGAAATACCACATCTCAATCCACATCTTTCACCACCAATATATTTTTTTGCTTTATTGCAATTCTGTTTTAAGATTGTTACTATTATTTGTGATACAGATGAATCTCTTTTATAACTGTATTGTGAATGCATCCTTTAGCATTTTTATAAAGTGTCCTTTTTTGTTTTAAAGTTTAATGACTTTTAGGCTCACCCCTTGTTTTCTTCTGGTTTCTATTTGCCTAGTGTATTCTTTGTTTATCCTTTTATTTTCAACCCTTTTGAGTGGCTTTGTTTTAAGTATGCCTCTTGCTTTAAGCAGAAAGTTGTGATCCTATAATGAAAATCTTTTTTGTTTCAGTAGTTGAGTTAAATTTACTTATTTTCATAGATGTGATAGGTTTATTTGATCTTGGTTCTGTCACAATTTTTTGCTAACTCTTTTCTTCCTCTCTCTCTCTCTCTCTCTCTCTTTCTTTCTTTTACTATGTTGTTGCTTTACATGTATGTAATTTGGGTTTTTAGGGAAGTTGTATTTTTGTTTTCCTTTTTATCCTTCTAATTTTAATGTTAATATAATTCCAGTAGTCTTCTATTGCTTTGGCTATTCTCTGCTATTAAAATTGATTAAAGTAGCATTAAATTTCCTATTCTTAACCCCATCCTTACCTTCTCCTCTCCTACTGATTTTAGTCAATATTATCTTTGAGTGTACTATTTCTTTGTACTATTGAAAATGCTCATACCTGCACTTCTTTATTTGGTAGCTCTAAATTATATTCCTTGATATACTGCTACCATATGTAAAGCAATCTATGGACTCTCTTTACCTCATACTTATTGTCCTTTTACCTCCTTTTAGTTTTTATTTGTTGGTTGTATCATTTTTCCATTGTCAGGGCATATGACATTTTCATTCAGTTTTCTTAACCTTATGTCCATATTTGTTTTAATCCTTTTCCACAGTAAATATATTCAGTGCTCATCACCAGTCTTTTTGTTATGGTTCCTTTGGTTATCTCTTGTTTGACTAAAGTTCATCCCATAGTAATTTCCTGAGGAAGGGCCTGAGAACAGTATTCTTTGAGTTCTTTCATGTTCAAAACAGTTTGACTATAGTCCATTCATGAAAGACAGTTTGGCCAGATATAAAGTTGGATCCCACTTTATATCTGGTGTTGCTTTTGTTTTACAATATCTAATGTTTACAATATCTAATGTTGCTTTTGTTTTACAATATCTAATGTTGTTGTTAAGAATTTGGGATAAGTTTGAATTATTTTGCCCTTTATAAATGATTTGCTCTTTTTGCCTGGCTGTCCAGAGGATTCTTTATTTTGAAAGACTGATAATTCTACAGTGACTTCGTGTTGAGAATTTTGGATCAATCTTCTCTGACATACAGCATGTTCTTTCAGCTTGTAAATTTGTGTCTTCCTTTATTTTAGTGCAGTTTTCTTGATTTGTATCTTTAAATTCCATACAATTGTTTTGTTATTTGGGGGGCTGGGTGTTGTCCAGTACTCATTTGTTCATTTGTTCAATGTCCTTTGGCATATTTGTGATTTTCTTCCTAATCCTTTTAATTCTTTCTCTCTTCCTTCTTCTCTCCTCTCCTCTCCCCTCCCCTTCCCTCTTTCTTTTAATTTACTAAGCTTTTCTAATTTATTTTATTTTCCAATATCTGTTCACCTGTGTACTTTTCTAATTTGTGTTTAGCTATCTGGTTTTATTTTTTTTCTCTACTTTTACTCTTGATTTTGCCACTCTTTATGTCTTGCCATCTCTTCTTGCTTTTTGGTTTTCCGAATAGACACAGTTGCTTCATTAAGTTTTTTTAAATTTATGGCAAAAATTTTGGCCCCTATTTTCATCTGCATCTGCTCTAAGGTGTTTTTGTGAGAATTTTACACTTCCTCAGTTTATCTTAAAGTATTTTTGTTTAGATGTAAGTTCCTATCATATTGAACAAGTTAGATTTTCTTGGGTTAGTTGTTTTGTACAAAGCTCCTTTTGGGAAGCATAAGTTGCCAGGATAATCTCACAGCCTATTAGCTGGTTTATACAACTTCTTCCTGTAAGTGTAACTTGTGTGTCTGATTTTATATGTAGCATTCCTTTTCTGTTTCTCTGTACTGAATGAGGTTTGAGGAATTTCTGCCATCCTTCTTGCTCCAGCTCCTACACTTGGTTTTGCAAACAAAGAACATAGATTTGCACTTCATGATGTGTATTTCACCTTAGAATATATGTTTTCCTGACACTTTCTAAGGTCTGTTAACATTGAGTTCTTTTGACTTCTCTGGTCGGCTTCCAGCTGCCTGTCTTCTGCTTGATCTGGCTGCTTTTGGTAGTGCTTTCATATGTTGTGGAGTCTGTGGATTCTGACTTTGAGTTTTAATGAAAATTAAATTTTTGGAATTTGGTTGTTGTGGTTTTTTGGATGTATCTCACAAGGAGAAGGGAAAAATGTTGACTTATGTAGGATGACCATATGGGAAGGTTTTTTTTACTATTTAAAAATGGTACCCCTTCTTTGCTCTGGAAATCCCATCTAAATTTTTAGGTACTAACAAAGCAACAGAACATGGTATATCTATTGGGAGGAGTAAAGATTAGAATGGTGTTTAGATGTTATCTACTGTTTGTCAAATTATAGTATATGGCATTAAAGTGTTTAATATTTGCAGAATGACTAACCCAGGAAATGAGGGATGAACCTGGGGTTACAGTGAAGGGCTAGAACCAAAAGGGTACTAGGGCTGAATAAAAGGTGACCAGTTAGTGTTGGGCCATAGCTCAGCCGTGCCATCCATCACTTGTTCTGTCTTACCATAAAACTTTAAATCTAAGCCTAGTTCTCATTTCTTAACTTACTTTCTTGCCTTTTGGATATTTTCTGTAAGATACTGTCTTCTCAATTACTAAATCCCCCAACCTTCTTCAGTGCACCTCATCCATTCTTGGTTGTCAGTGGTTTATCATTCAGCTATTTTATAGGAATATGAAACATTGTTTAAAGGATATTGTGAATGAGATTTGCATGTTTATTTTTAAAATCTGGTCCTATCTTTTCTGTAGAACAAAAAAGAAACTGGAAGAACAGCAAACAATTTATCGTCTATAATGCATTTATGAGTATTTAGGGTAACAAACGTTTATAGATGTACTAAATTAGACATTTCTGGAGAATATAAACCTTGCAGCACACTCTACTGTAGATTACATAGATTATTTTATAGATTTCAGAAGAGAATCAATTCTCAAATATGACTCAGAGTAACTCATACAGTCTGAAAGCCAGATTTAATGTTTGAGTATATAAGATTTTCCACATTTCTAATTAGTGAGACTATTCTGTATTACGTCATTTTGTGCATTATAATTTTTTCCAGTTGATGTTTGAGATCATCCCTATAGTAAAACTGCAGATAAGATGAATAATTTTTATTTATTTATTTATTTAGTTTTTTTTGCGGTACGCGGGCCTTTCACTGTTGTGGCCTCTCCCGTTGCGGAGCACAGGCTCGGGCCGCGCAGGGTCAGCGGCCATGGCTCACGGGCCCAGCCGCTCCGCGGCATGTGGGATCTTCCCGGACCGGGGCACAAACCCATGTCCCCTACATCGGCAGGCAGACTCTCAACCACTGCGCCACCAGGGAAGCCCAAGATGAGGAATTTTGTCTATCAAAATGATGTTACTGATACACATCATTTGTAGTAAGACATATATTAAATCATTTTTCTAATAGTGTTGGTGAGTTTACTCTGACTTATCCTTTTCTCCATTTGTCCTTAAAGGCAAAAACAACATTTTTAGACTTTAGCTTTCTAAAGTCCTTTGTAACAGTGCGACTTTTTTTTTTAAAATAAATTTTATTTATTTATTTATTTATTGTTGGCTGTGTTGGGTCTTCGTTGCTGCAAGCAGGCTTTCTCTAGTTGCAGCGAGTGGGGGCTACTCTTTGTTGCAGTGCGTGGGCTTCTCATTGCAGTGGCTTCTTCTGTTGCAGAGCACGGGCTCTAGGTGCACGGGCTTCAGTAGTTGTGGCTCGCAGGCTCTAGATTGCAGGCTCACTAGTTGTGGTGCATGGGCTTAGTTGCTCCATGGCATGTGGGATCTTCCCAGACCAGGGCTCGAACCCATGTTCCCTGCATTGGCAGGTGGATTCTTAACCACTGTGCCACCAGGGAAACCCCAGTGTGACTTTCTTAAGTTTGAGCTCAAATATTATGTGTCTCAAGAAGAATCTAGAAACATAGGTAGCAAAACCTTTCTCATTTCCCTCTTTTTATTGTGGTTTCATTTCAATTGTGTTTATTCAGAGTGGTAGACTACAGAGGGTCATGTTGTCTTAGAGAATTAATACCCTTATCCTAATTAAGCTTATGGGTGCAACCTTAACTCCTAAGCATAAATTATGTCACTTTTTTGTCAGTTCATTTTATTTAGTATTTTTTTCTCCTCTCTTTTGGATCTATTTCAGATTTTTTGTGTGTGTTCTTTTCCTCTGTAGGTTTCAGAATTGACAAGTGAACAAAATAAGTGCAATCGAAGGAAATATTATAGGTCTGTCTTGCATCAAAAGTCCAGCTTCTCATGTGACACAGAAAGTTTCACCAATAATGTAACATTTCAGTATGGCAGGAGAGGAAGTGGATTTTGTTATTCTTAGAAATGGAATAGAGTTGTGTTTAGATTTTCAGACTTTCTTATGATGCTACTAATTTATGAGCTAACATGTTTAGGAAGAGTTTAAGTCAGTTGGTTTATGTTGTAAAAGAATTACGTAGGTGCCTTGTTAAAAAATATAGATTTCTGGGCTCTACCTCTAGACTTTGTGGCTTATTGGTCTGAAGTAGGCCCAGGAATTAGCATTTTGACAAGCACTTCTGGTTTTTCTAATGCAGGTCTTCCTTGGATAGCCCTCTGAGTAAAACTGCCTTAGAGAAATTCTAAAACTGAAAATTATGTACAATAAATTAATTACCTTGTTGGAAAAAAAAGCTCATGTATGAAAGTGTTTCATATTGGAACCAGTTTATATGACATCTTGATTTTCCAGATGAGGAACTAAATTTCCCCGTCAAATATATAAGCATTCTAGATTTCAAGATGTAACTGTTGAAGCTTTCAAGACATGACCGATGGTTCTTTATTTTTTCCCTATGCATTTTTTAGCACCTTGAGTCTAAGGAACGGGAGGTTAGCTGTGCTCAATATCCAGTTCCAACCAGATATTATGATATTTAGTATATATATAGTTAAACATATACATTATAGCATGTAAAACTACATTTCCATTCTGTACTCTGTCATGGCATGGATATGAACAATGTTTAGTTTTAATTTAAATGTTGTTAAATATTTACATCTGAAAAGAAATTATAAGGAAAAGACTATTAGATCAATAGTCGAGTCTTGGTTTTAAGGTTTTTCTTTTCTTTCTTTAAAAAATTTTTTTAAATTAAGATAATAGATGTTTATTGTTTGAGATTTTGAGAGTATGTATATGCACCACAAGCTTTTGGTGAATATTTTTCCAGATATATCGCCAAGCATAGTTTTACATGGTCTGACCTTAGTTGTAAACAAAGAACCGTATTTTTGGTTTCTAATTGTTTTAAGAGATAAATAAGACTTCTGTTTTTTCTCTTTCAGTACTGTTGTCCAGACATGATAAATAACTTTTTGGGACTGGCTAAAACAGAATTTTCAAGTACAGCAAATAAAAGTAAAACTGTTGATTCAGAAAAAGGAAAACTGATCATGTTAGTTAATGACTTTTATTATGGAAAACATGAAGGAGATGTCCAGGAAGAACAGAAGACTTACACAACCTTTAAATGCTTCAGTTGCTTGAAAATTCTTAAAAATAATATCAGGTATGTTAGCATTTATTTTTATTTCTACTTGAAAATTGGAATGCTACAGATATAAATGTTGTATCTTTATCTTGCATTTTTAAATGTTATTCTAGATAAGAGATTTTAACACTTTGCACTAAGAACGAAGACATATTCTCTTGTTAAAAAGCTTTTGTCCTTTCTTATATTTTAGAGTTGACTCTTGGATCCAGTTAGTTGTATTTCTTTAAAATAACTTAAGAAAGGACAAACTTTATTTCAAATAAAACAAAATTAACTTCTTTTACCTATATTATCAGTGATCTAGGAATTTTCATGAGATAATTTTCATATTTAGCTGCTTTTGAATTTTATTTTTTTTCACACCACAAGAAGAACCACTTATTTATGTTTTGTCCAGTTTGACCTCTTATATACTAATCTTGTTTAATGCTCAAATCCCATAAAAGAGTTAGTTACAAGAATAAAATGAGAAGACATATTGATTGATATTTTTATTGGTTACATAGCTTGACATTTATATTTGGTAAGGTTTTTTACCATCATTTTATTATAAAGATTTTCAACATTCAACAAATTTAAAAATATTTTGTAATGGACACTTGTATACTCATCATCTTGATTCTATCATTAACATTTAACTGTACTTGCTTCATCATATAGCTATTCATCCTTCCTTCAAACTATCTGGGTTTTTTTATGCATTTCAAAGTAAGTTGCAGATGTCAATGTACTTCCATCAGTTGAGGCATGTGTGTGTGTACAAACATACGTATGCATAACTTTTTATATTTACCCTCGGTGACTATTATTTGTAATTAGCATTCTTAGGTACCTATAGTTTACTTGTAGACCCAGCATTTATTTTATTTTCCTGTGAGTTCTTGGGTCCAAGAAGAAGCATATAGAAAAACCCTGAAATACACTGCGATAAACTCCTATAATAATTATTTTTTTATGGTAGTGCTTTATAGTTTTAAAAATTCTTTTACGTATATTATTTCATATAAGTTTTCACATTTATCTCCTTTCATCAAGTATTAACAGCCATCAATAGCTAATGGTCCCAGTAGCTTAACAGAAGGAATATTGTACTTCGAGATATAACACTGAAACAATATTACAATAGAACTCTTTTCCCTATTTTCACATTTTTACCATTTTAGTAGTAAAATACACGAGAAAAATCATGTTAATATAGTAAAGTGCATAGAAATATGGCTCCCCTGCTTAGTTCTTTGTTATTCTTAAATGTTATATATATATGATATTAGAATTTATTTCAGCAGTTTTTTTTATTTTCCTTTGAGATTAACACATTAATATTAAACATATGAAAGTAAAAATTTTCTTTTTTTTGTTATTGTTTCAGAATACTAGTTACATATTTCTAGAGTGTCCTAATATCTAGAAATTTTAAGCAAGCAGCACCTGGTAACATCCAGGAATTGAGCTTTTTTTGAAATACTGATTGTTTAGTAAATGTAACCTTAATAGAAAACAATTTATAACCAAAGAAGTTCAATATGTTAAGTAATATTTTACCTTGATAGTAAAAACTGGGAGGGTAAATTGATATTTGTAGAGAATGGTAAGAAGCTGATAGCTGTAGATTTCTCTTCTCTGCCTTGTCAGCGTATGGTGTTTTTTCCCCTACATTGAGTGTCACCCAAAACAGGTTTATTTTATTCTGTGAATATCCTTGCAAGATGTTTGCTTTTTTTGTTTCCCTCATTTCCATCTGTTGGTTTAAGTAGTATGAGCTCCTGATGGGGGCCCATATAATAATTGAGAGAAAGCTTGCTAGTTAAGAAATTATTTTATTTAGATACATTTTAATTGCTGAAAGTCGTAAGCTGAGCGTTTAATGGCTCATGACATTTTCTCTATACCTAAATATTTAGCCAAGACTAGGATTTCCTATAGGTGTTTGTAGAGCTGGTGTAAAAACCAAAGGAAGTCTAAAAGATATTTCAAAGTGTACCATAACCTGTACTAAAGAGTAGCGTTATGTGAGGTGTGAAAAAAAATAAATGTTATAACCTTTATGATGATTGCTTTCCAGATTGATGATATTATCACTTAATTTCAACATTATTTCCTGTAGTGACTCAAAGTGAGTAATTGTTAATAGTTGACCCCGTCTAAAAATTGTTATTTTGATTGAATAACTTTACTTTCAAATTCAGCAAAAAGCTTCAGTAAGCTCTTTTAAATAGGCATTCCCATTTATATTGCACTCTCTATTGTGGAAGGTCATAGTTCCTGCTCATAAGAAGCCTTTTTAGGGAAGCTGAAATAGCAGAATGTAAAACTGAAAAATGGACGTTGCCTACAAAGGGCACAGTCTGCAAGTTAAAATGAACAGTCTTTGGTAACAGTAAACCAGTATCATTAAATAAGACAAAAGGTTCTTGTAATTGTAGGCATTAAAATTGCTATTACATGCATTTAGAAACCAAGACACAAGTAAAAATACCAGTAATTTGTCTTTTAAGCAGCTAGAATTTAATGTATATCTTCATAGCTTAAGAGATTTCTCTCATGACTCTGTAGCTGCTTTTGGTGGTAGAGTTTCCTTCCTTTCAGTATTTTATTTAAAAATGTAAGTAGTATTTCTTGTATGGAGAAGAAACCTGCTGTTTTATCTTTAAAAAAATTTTAATAATCTGAAATGATCAAGAGAGCAAATTAGTGATATTTCAAATTCATAATAACTATTTATTTTAAAACAAGGATGAAAAGATGTTGACTTAGTTACTTAATAAAAGTGATTATTTAAAGTGCACACTTTTCTGGAGGACTTTAGGACTTTTGAGATTTTATCTTCAGTAATCATATCTCTAATTTTAAGATTTAGATTCAAGTACTTATTTGTGAGATTTTTGTTTTTAAATCTGAATTTTTGCACCTGTTGACAATCATTTATAGGTTTATGAACCACATGAAACATCATTTGGAACTTGAGAAGCAGAGCAGTGAAAGCTGGGAAAACCACACCACCTGCCAGCACTGCTACCGTCAGTTTCCCACACCATTTCAACTGCAGTGTCACATTGAAAGTACACACACACCCCATGAATTTTCTAGTAAGTTACAATTTCATTTAAGTATTGAGTATTTTGATTTTAACAATGTAAACTCTGAGAAAAGTTTGTTACTGAACTCTGAACAAGTGTGTTAGAAAAATAAGATGACTTTGAAATTTGAGAGTAAAGTTGAAAAAGTTAATTTTTAACTTATATAAAGTTTTAAATAAAATTAGTTACTGAAATTAAAGTCCCTCTTGTAAATAATTCACTATGGTAAATAACATGTGCATTACATGTGGGGGACTAAATTAGAAGCCTCAGATAATAGTTTTCAAATATGAAATCAGTGCCCTTCTTTTAAACTTGAATAAGAAAAGTAAATACAACGGTAGTTAAAATCACAGATTTTGGAGCAAGACAGCTTGGGTTCACATCCAAGCTCTGCCTCTTAATATGTGATCTTAATGTGATCTCAGACAGGTCACTTAATATTTGAATAATGGGGATAATAAAAATAACCTGCTTCATAATGTTTTGATGGGAACTGAGTGAGTTAATGTAAGTAAAGTCCTTAGAACTGTGCATGGCACACAGTTAACAACTATGGAACTGTTCACCACTACCACCACCACCAATACTACTACTGTTATTATTGTTGTTGTTGATATAGATGTACAAAATGAATTATATATGTATATATCTGATTTTGTTTATTTGCCTCGATAGGATACTTTTTAAGAAAATTGAAGTGTAATTGACATATAACATTGTATTAGTTTCAGGTGTACAACATAATGATTGAATACTTCTGTGTATATATATATCTTAAAATGGTGTAATGTCTTTTTTCCCCCACTTTCAGCCATTTGCAAAATATGTGAATTATCATTTGAAACAGAGCATATTCTTTTACAACATATGAAGGACAATCATAAACCTGGTGAAATGCCATATATTTGCCAGGTATACACATATTTTATTGTATACATCGTGTTTGTTTGGTTTGTTTATTATCTCTTGTTTTGGTTACAAGATTTAAACCTATTAGGCCAGGCATCAGCAAATTTTTTATATAAAGGGCAAGATAGTAAGTATTCAGGTTTTGAGGATCATAGGTCTCCGTTGCAACTAATCAACTCTGCCATTGTAGCACACAGGCAGCCATAGACAATAAGTGGATGAATGGGTATGACTGTGTTTCAATATAACTTTATTTATGGACACTGAAATTTGAATTTCATATAATTTTCACGTCATGAAATATATTTTATTTTTCTAACCATTTCGATAAAATTGGTTGCTAAAATTAAAGTATCTTCTGTAAATAATTATTAGTAGGAAGTCCCTTGGCATAACTCATACATTGTTATGTAAGGTCAGCAGACAGTTGGAATTGGCCCATAGGCCATTGTTTGCCCACTCCTGTACTAGACAAAGAAAAGCCCTGTGGCAGAAAGACAAACATGAACTTATCTTACCCTGTAGGGAAGAATGTAGGCATACAAGGGAAATATAAAATACTTTTACTTCAGAGAACCCTACCAAATGCTTTGGGACTAGTATTTTTCCAGAATTTGGAGGAATGAGAAAGTAAGATAAAAATAAATTGTCACTTCCATAGCCTGGAGGCCATTTATAATCTAAAGGAAGATGCTATTTTATATAGCAGAAGAACTTTATAGTACCAGAGGTGTCAGAGTTTGAAAACTCAAGTCAAGATTGGGGGTGACAGATAAAAATATCTGATAAAAATAAGGGAATCTAGTTATATTTTGGGAAGTATCCTTAAGCTTTGAAAGGTAATGACGCTTCTGTCTCAAAGATTATCTTTCAATGTTTGCATTAATGGAATTCTTGGTTGCGTAGGCATCAGAGCTGAATTAATAGTACAAAATATTCTTCTGAACAAGTGACCTATCATTCTTACTTTGAAATTGGATATCATTATAAGTTTTCAAGTTAAACTAAATCTCTTTTTTTTGTAGGTTTGCAATTATAGATCATCATCATTTTCTGATGTAGAAACTCATTTTAGAACATCCCACGAAAACACTAAGAACTTGCTATGTCCGTTTTGCCTCAAAGTTATTAAAATTGCAACACCCTATATGCATCATTACATGAAGCATCAGGTGAGATTTGCCAGTTTTTCTTCCTTTAATGTTGTTTTAGAGAAAAGATAGATTATGACTTAGAACATTGGTTAGATTTGTTCTGCAGGGAAAGCAGCATTGTTCTAAAAGACATGATTAATTTGTAATTTATGCTGAATTACCTGTGAAACTTCCACTTCTTTTCCTTGCTTCCTTTCTGGTGATGATGTGGTTCCTACATGAAAATTCTGAAAGATAGCTAGAAATAGGAAACCTTGGATTGAAGGAAAAAAGAGAAGATGAGTGGAAGAATATCCAAAAGTTTGGATATTTCGAGGCTAAGAATTACCTTCTGGGAAAGGTAATTATCAGGAGCAGGGGAAAAGATGAGTTTGAACTGATAAAGAAGATTGATGACTCATAATCGTGTTTTCCTCTTTCTCTTCAAACTTTATTCCCACTTTTAGCTCCCATATTATAAGACATGTTTGCGTCATTGACCAGGAGTGGTCTTTTATAGCTGCCAGGGATAGAGGAAGCAGTAGTGACACTTACTGCTTGATATATGAACTCTGGCAAAGAACTGTATTTAGTCCTGCTACGTAATTTTTGGGACCCAGTATTAGTGCTTATACCCATCTCTTGAACTCTGATGTTATACTTACTGGTTCTTTTCCTGAAGCAGTTAAGTCATCCTTTGGGCTGAAAAGTTTAATGCATCACTGATCCTGTTCTTAAGTGCTTGAAAGAACAATAATAGCGCCTTTGCCAAAACCAGAAGTCAGTGGATTTATTCAGTATGATCATGTAATCAAGTTTTGCCACCTCACTAATTAGCTCATTACATTTTCTTGTTATTGATTAAACTGGCATGTCAGTTTATTCAGCATTGGTGCTCACTTTGCTTTCCATTCTAGTCATTAGATAATCATGAAATCGGCTTGTGGTTCTTCATTGGGAGAGATCATAAAAGTAGAATTTCCAAATAAATTTGGGATCACCTATGTTGTGACTGGGTTGCTACCTATCCTTGAGGAGTTCTGGCAAGATCTTTCGATTCCGGGTTTCCCCGGCAATTTTCCATCAGTTGTTAATACATGTTCCCCCCCCCCCCCCCCGCCGCCACCAGTTGCTACTGGTAAATGAATTTGGTAAAGGCCTAGATTTACAAAATTAAATCGTTGTTTCTTTTTCACAACAGGATTCCTCAGAAATTTTAACATGCTAATGAACATTGTAAATCTCTAAGTAATGATATTATATGTATTCCCCAGACTTATTTAGCTATTGAACCCTTTATTTGCTCAATACCTATTAACATTTCTTGCGGAACAGAGTTTGAGAAACACTATTCTTGATACTCTGTATTTCTTCTTTGGCTTTTAATTTTCAAAGGGAGAATAAAGTATAAAACAGTAGTTTTATTTCATTATGGGGATTTAACATCATTTTCCCCATATGCTATATTAAGCTCCAGAGTGAGATATAGATGTAGGAAGAATGATAATTATGAAGGAGATGTGTGGGCCAACTGTATGGGCTACATGATTTTTTTTTTTTTAACGTTTTTATTGGAGTATAATTGCTTTACAATGGTGTGTTAGTTTCCGTTTTATAACAAAGTGAATCAGTTATACATATACATATATCCTCATATCTCTTTCTTCTTGCATCTCCCTCCCTCCCACCCTCCCTATCCCACCCTTATAGCTGGTCACAAAGCACCGAGCTGATCTCCCTGTGCTATGTGACTACTTCCCACTAGCTATCTATTTTATATTTGGTAGTGTATATATGTCCATATATACACTACCACTCTCTCACTTTGTCCCAGCTTACCCTTCCTCCTCCCCGTGTCCTCAAATCCATTCTCTAGTAAGTCTGAGTAGTTATTCCCGTTTTGCCCCTAGGTTCTTCATGACCATTGTTTTTTTTCTTTTTTGTTAGATTTCATATATAGGTGTTAGCATATGGTATTTGTTTTTCTCTTTCTGACTTACTTCACTCTGTATGACAGACTCTAGGTCCATCCGCCTCACTACAAATAACTCAATTTCGTTTCTTTTTATCGCTGAGTAACATTCCATTGTATATATGTGCCACATCTTCTTTATCCGTTCATCTGTCGATGGACACTTAGGTTGATTCCATGTCCTGGCTATTGTAAATAGAGCTGCAATGAACATTGTGGTACATGACTCTTGTTGAATTATGGTTTTCTTAGGGTATATGCCCAGTAGTGGGATTGCTGGGTCATACGGTAGTTCTATTTGTAGTTTTTTAAGGAACTTCCATACTGTTCTCCATAGTGGCTGTATCAATTTACATTCCCACCAACAGTGCAAGAGCGTTCCCTTTTCTTCACACCCTCTCCAGCATTTATTGTTTGCAGATTTTTTGATGATGGCCATTGTGACCAGTGTGAGATGATATCTTATTGTAGTTTTGATTTGCATTTCTCTAATGATTAATGATGTTGAGCATCCGTTCATGTGTTTGTTGGCAATCTGTATATCATCTTTGGAGAAATGTCTCTTTAGGTCTTCTGCCCATTTTTGGATTGGGTTGTTTCTTTTTTTGATATTGAGCTGCATGAGATGCTTGTAAATTTTGGAGATTAATCCTTTGTCAGTTGCTTCTTTTGCAAATATTTTCTCCCATTCTGAGGGTTGTCTTTTCATCTTCTTTATGGTTTCCTTTGCCTTTGGAATAAGTTCCAAAGCTTTTAAGTTTCATTAGGTCCCACTTGTTTATTTTTGTTTTTATTTCAATTTCTCTAGGAGGTGGATCAAAAAGGATCTTGCTGTGATTGATGTCATAGAGTGTTCTGCCTATGTTTTCTTCTAAGAGTTTGATAGTGTCTAGCATTGCATTTAGGTCTTTAATCCATTTTGAGTTTATTTTTGTGTGTGGTATTAGGGAGTGTTCTAATTTCATTCTTTTACATGTAGCTGTCCAGTTTTCCCAGCACCACTTATTGAAGAGGCTGTCTTTTCTCCATTGTATATTCTTGCCTCCTTTATCAAAGATAAGGTGAGCATAGGTGTGTGGGTTTATCTCTGGGCTTTCTATCCTGTTCCATTGATACGTATTTCTGTTTTTCTGCCAGTACCATACTCTCTTGATTACTGTAGCTTTGTAGTATAGTCTGAAGTCTGGGAGCCTGATTCCTCCAGCTCTGTTTTTCTTTCTCAAGATTGCTTTGGCTATTCGGGGTCTTTTGTGTTTCCATACAGATTGTGAAATTTTTTGTTCTAGTTCTGTAAAAAATGCCAGTGGTAGTTTTATAGAGATTGCATTGAATCTGTAGATTGCTTTGGGTAATATAGTCATTTTCACAATGTTGATTCTTCCAATCCAAGAACATGGTATATCTCTCCATCTATTTGTATCATCTTTAATTTCTTTCAACATTGTCTTATAATTTTCTGCATACAGGTCTTTCGTCTCCTCAGGTAGGTTTATTGCTAGGTATTTTATTCTTCTTGTTGCAGTGGTAAATGGGAGTGTTTTCTTAATTTCATTTTCAGATTTTTCATCATTAGTGTGTAAGAATGCAAGGGATTTCTGTGCATTAATTTTGTATCCTGTTACTTTACCAAATTCATTGATTAGCTCTGTAGTTTTCTGGTGGCATGTTTAGGATTCTCTATGTATAGTATCATGTCATCTGCAAAGAGTGACAGCTTTACTACTTCTTTTCCGATTTGGATTCCTTTTATTTCCTTTTCTTCTCTGATTGCTGTGGCTAAGACTTCCAAAACTATGTTGAATAATAGTGGTGAGAGTGGGCAACCTTGTCTTGTTCCTGATCTTCGTAGAAATGGTTTCAGTTTTTCACCATTGAGCACGAGGTTGGCTGTGGGTTTGTCATATATGGCCTTTATTATGTTGAGGAAAGTTCCCTCTATGCCTTCTTTCTGCAGGGTTTTTATCATAAATTGGTGTTGAATTTTGTCAAAAGCTTTCTCCGCATCTATTGAGATGATCATATGGTTTTCCTCCTTTAATTTGTTAATATGGTATATCACATTGATTGATTTGCGTATATTGAAGAATCCTTGCATTCCTGGAATAAACCCCACTTGATCATGGTGTATGATCCTTTTAATGTGCTGTTGGATTCTGTTTGCTAGTATTCTGTTGAGGATTTTTGCATGTATGTCCATCAGTGATATTGGTCTGTAGTTTTCTTTTTTTGTGACATCTTTGTCTGGTTTTGGTATCAGGGTGATGGTGGCCTCGTAGAATGAGTTTGGGAGAGTTCCTCCCTCTGCTGTATTTTGGAAGAGTTTGGGAAGGATAGGTGTTAGCTCTTCTCTAAATGTTTGATAGAATTCGCCTGTGAAACCATCTGGTCCTGGGCTTTTGTTTGTTGGAAGATTTTTGATCACAGTTTCAATTTCAGTGCTTGTGATTGGTCTATTCATATTTTCTATTCCTTCCTGGTTCAATCTCAGAAGGTCGTGCATTTCTAAGAATTTGTCCATTTTTTCCAGGTTGTCCATTTTATTGTCAAAGAGTTGCTTGTAGTAATCTCTCATGATCCTTTGTATTTGCAGTGTCAGTTGTTACTTCCTCTCTTTCATTTTTAGTTCTGTTGATTTGAGTCTTCTCCCTTTTTTTCTTGATGAGTCTGGCTAATGGTTTATCAATTTTGTTTATCTTCTCAAAGAACCAGCTTTTACTTTTATTGATCTTTGCTATCGTTTCCTTCATTTCTTTTTCATTTATTTCTGATCTGATCTTTATGATTTCTTTCCTTTTGGTAACTTTGGGGTTTTTTTGGTCCTTCTTTCTCTAATTGCTTTAGGTGTAAGGTTGGGTTGTTTATTTGAGAGTTTCTTGTTTCTTAAGGTAAGATTGTACTGCTATCAACTTCCCTCTTAGAACTGCTTTTGCTGCATCCTATAGATTTTGGGTCATTGTGTTTTCTTTGTCATTTGTTTCTATGTATTGTTTGATTTCCTCTTTGGTTTCTTCAGTGACTTCTTGGTTATTAAGTAGTGTATTGTTTAGCATCCATGTGTTTGTATTTT